CTTTCATTTGGTATATAATTCATTTATTTATGATAAAATTAGGTCTCGTTGCTGTGAGAAAATTTGCGTTTCATTAATTGTGCCAATATATCATTGTCTGTGTATGCACTCGAATCCCTCGCAGATTTAGAAAAGCTCATATTGAGCTTTGAGAAGATTACTCAGCAGTATGGATTAACAATGAGTGTCAAGAAGACATGCGTCATGTCCCTGCAACAGTTTGAAACAGACGCCCAGAACAAGCTGCAACGAAACAAGGAAGTTGAACAACCGGTCATCGTCACACTCATTCGTGGTCAGAAGATCGAAACAGTCGACTTGTTCACCTACCTCGGCTGTATCCTGTCGAGGGAGCAGACCTCCAATTGCGGGGAGTCATCTGGTACAGGAAGACAATCTGGCTCGAGGCAAAGCTCAGAATTTTCCGGGCATGCATATTACCAGTTTTTCTGTATGGAAGTGAAATATGGACGCTTACGGCTACACAAGAGAGTCGAGCCCGTACGTTCTACATGAGCTGCCTACGAACAATCCTTGGCCTGAATCTTGGAGATCGTGTGCCAAATGCAACAATGCTTCAGCTATCTGATCAACCAGGCATCGAAGATCTAATACGCCGTAACAGATTGAGGTGGTTCGGCCACGTAAATAGACTAGAAACGGAAGATGGGGTTTCTTCACTGGTGAAGAAGATGATGCATTCCTACTTTGCTGGCGAAAAACGACTAGGAAATCCAAGCATAATGAAGAGGTGGGAAGCCAAGGTCTTTGAAGATATGGAAGCTCTCGGGATCGCTAACTGGAGGCGAGTCACTCTCGACAGAACCAGCTGGCGGGAATTTATCAACAGACGAGTTATTACGCAACCAGTTCACGGAAAAACCAAGAGATCGTCCACGAGTTCAAGATCGCAGCTGAAAATCGGAGAGCGGAAGAGGCAGCCGATGCGAGAGGTCACGGAAAGAAGAAGGTCACGGAAGTCCTGGTGAAAGACGCAGGTGGGCTCTACACCTGCCCCGAATGCCAACAATTGTTCAAGCCACAAGGCATCACCAGACACGTCCGATCTTGTGCATCGGACTGGTGCAAGAAGAAAAGAATCATTATGGCTACCGCAAGCGCCAAGTGAAAACAAGTTGGAGCGAGAACAAGGAACCACCAAATGAAGACTAGCATCTAAACCAGATTTAATCTGGAGAGTGATAGTCCGAAGACTTTCCTTGCCTTGTCTCCCATACGAACGAACAAACTAGGACCGAACGAACACTATTTAGCTGTCTTTTATTGTTTACTTTTTCAGTGTTTTACCCTACAGCGAAAGGTAACGAGTCTATCTATCAACATATATTTACAATAGTGCCTTCAATCTAGTTACATTATGCCCCTGGAAAACATCATCCGTTTGAACTCAAATTTTTACCACAGATGCTTCGGACTCTATTTCAGCTTCTAAAACTTTGCAGCCTTTTCGATTTAGCTGCTTACGAGGGAATCGTCCGAGGTGATACCCTCCGTTTCTAATGAGTTATACCTCAATCGATAGAGTATATCGAGCTAATAAAAAGCCTAAAAGGATTCGGGCCCAATACTCTTGAAGATCCGGTTTTCTGGAAAACCAGTTTTTCAGAAACTCTAAAAAATAATCAAAACCTTTGCTTAGTAAAAGATGATTGTAGCCTGCACATTTCTGATTAAAATGAGACATCTCCCAGCTCTACACGACCTTTCTTTGCAAAGTTATAGAATTTACAAGAAAAGCCCT